TTTTTTCTCGTCTACTCTCACACACACACACACACACACACACACACACGTACACATATCACCACTATCACCAGCACCACACTAGGAACAAGTTAATAGGCACATGGTTAACCAAACTTTGATTTATTAAAACATTAAGCCTTTGGACAAATACTCTCACATAAACTAAGAAAATTTGGGAATCTTTTCCCCTTCAAGTTGAGCATAATTAATTAAGTCATGTCTTCAACCCAGTGATAAAGAGTTTCCAACAAAAGCCATCTGTGCTCAAGTAGTATTGTGATTTCTCAACTTTTCCTCCCTCCATTGGTTTGTTTCTCTCTAATATAAACCATTCTCCCCTCATAAATAGAGAAGAATATACGTGTATTGGGAAGGGTCATAAAGAATTTGGAAGATGCAAATAGATTTTGTGTTCTTTATAAACACTGGTCAAAGTTGCCTGAATTCAAAATGTTACTGGAAGAATTAGCCTTCTGCCTTACCTCTCCCCTCTTCATTTTCCTAAGGAATTTGAACAGAGAAATAAATTTTATCCTGTGATTTCCTGCTTATAGAGGTAGAGTAAGGTAGGGAAGTAGAAATCTTCCCAGTAATATGACACTGGTTTTCAAAAATTTAAATTTCTATTCCAGTTCACATTTATTTTATTTTATTTTTGGTATGGGAGATTGAACTTGGGACCTTGTGCTTGTGAGGCAGGAGGCAGCACCACCCAGTGCACGTTTTATATACAATTTAAAAAATGTATAGTTGTGTTATTTATTATGGGGTGCTAGTGGAGCTCACTTCTTTTATACCACTAAGATCTGGGATTGCTTTAGAAACAAGAGATGGGAACTGAATTATTCTACATAATAATATAAAAAGCTGTAGTCCTTGTTCACACAGTTACCTGTGCGTATTGACAAAAAGCTTCTCTTTCAGTATAAATTTAGACTGTAATGCATTTGAAATGATTGCTTATTCTCTGAAGGCAGTTGTGTGTGTGTGTGTATGTGTGTGTGAGAGAGAGAGAGAGAGAGAGAGAGAGAGAGAGAGAGAGAGAGATTGCCTCTGTGCATCTATTCTGTCATCCCTGGAAGATCTGGTGTGAATAAGATTGTTTTACTCAGGTACCTTTGGATTGTAAGAGACAGGAAATCAACTGAAGCAAGCTTTTGACAAACTCCACTGGGCTCCCATTGTGAAAATTCCAGCAGTAGCAGCCTCAATCATGGCTGGAACCGGGCATCTCCAACACCAAGATCAGATCTAGCCTCTCTCTACTTCTAAGCTCCACTTTCCTCTGAATTCCCCTTATTTTCATTCTTCTATTGTGCCTGATGGTAGCTAAGACCTCTTTGATTTTCCTTGCTAGTTTTGTTAGCAAACAAACACACACACACACACACACACACACACATATAAACACACTCTCTCTCATTTTATCTTTTCTACTTGTTTCTCTGAAAGATCTCAGAGCGTTCTCTGATGAGAGGAGAGTGATGAACCCATGGCAGTGGCCAGACCACAATGCCAAGTGTGCAGCTCTGCACCATGAGCTCACTCACCTCTGATTCCAGGGCTTGGGGAGGCCCCACCAAAACCACATGGAATGAGCATGGGTGGGGTTGGTCCCCAAGGAAATGCAAGGCAAGATTACAAGCAAGACAAAAGATGCTGGGTATGAAAAACAGCACACATCCACCCAGGAGCCCAGGCTGGCCTCTCTCGACACCGCCTGAGAGGCCTGGATGGAACATAGACATTACACTGTGTGACCACTTGTGGTTGCTCCCTTCGGGCCCTCCTCCCCTGCACCCAGCTCCCAAACCCTGTGGGCACCGAATTGCTCTGGGCTCTCCACCTTAGTCTTTGGGATGCACCCTGTGGGATGATAGCTGTGTCCCAAGAGGGTGAGGGTCTGGGGCTTTTTTATTTCTTTCTAGAGAAGTGGAGAGTTTTACTTGGAACCGTCCCCAAACCTGCGGCAGAATCCCTAACATGCATAAGCTTTGTGGTTAGGTATCAATGGGAGGAGAGTGGCAGCGGGTGATGCGACTGTGGTCCTCCTGCAGTTGGCTCTGCCTCACCAAGGAAGACCTGAGTTCCAGGTGGTAAGCAAGGGAGAGCAAGGCCAGCAGGGAGCGAGCTGAAGCAAGGACGTGGGTCAGGGTCGGCAGCTGCCAAGCCAATGACTCAGGAGCGGAAATGAGACAAACCCTTTCCTTCTTTTATTTTCCAAATAAATGAGAAGGTGACCCCTCGATGCAGGAGGTTGACATTTTGGTTGTGCAATAGTAAAAACCAAAAAATTAGAAGCAACGGCAAAAGGTGCAATGTGTTATTACTTTCAGATGGGAAAACTGGGGTGGAATGACTGTTTCACAGCGCCTATTTTAAGCTCTGAAGACGCAGCACAATACTGCACAGGGACTTGGTATTTTAATAGGCCACAATCAAATGTTGATTAAAATTTGGAAGCTTGGGCCTTCTTTCATGAAAATTCCCTTCATCTGGTCTTCAGCTACAACTTTCTTATTCCTGCTACCCTTGTTCAAAATTGTAATCATTAGTTTTCAAGATGATACCAATCGAACTTAGGTTGGGACTTAGGGCAAAGTATTAACAACTTGGTGGAAAAAAAGAATCTGGACATTTGTGACCCTACCCCAACTACAAATAATTTTGGAGGTAACCATGAAATAATAGTCACTTGCATTCAAAATGCTCATACTTCTTTATAAGTATTAGTGGGGAGGGGTTGGATAGGAGGAAAGTTTAGAAAATCAATTAACCATATGCTTAACCTCGTGGGACTCTAAAATCCACACAGATTGAAAAGTAGAAGGACATTTATGCAAATGTGTACCAAACGGAATAAATGATGGATCAGAAAAAGCACAACTGCATTTTCATCGTGCTTTGTAATCATTGCTTGAATATTATGATAATGGCCTCAGTGAGCGTCTATCCTTTGTGGAAACCTAAAGGGATTAGAAATAATAGGATTATCACTTTATTTGCATCCTGTATAAACTCCTTCCAGGGCAGACGAGGAGCCAGAGACTGCTTTTCACCCCAGGCACCTCTCTCACCGGAGCCTCCATACCTGCCAGGAACTGATCACAGACAACCCACTGAACTCTGGGTCTGGCTAATGCAAGCAAATAGGAGCACATCAAACTTGCAGAGAAATTGTTGACAATTTCCAGCCGTCATTAATGTTCAGGGCTCCCTTGGACTTTAGCCACGTTCTTACCTTTAATCACTGGACACCCCTAGGATAATGTACCACACCTGGGGCTGGGGATAATTTATCACTTGCAGATGGGTTAGCACAGCAGTTCACTTACAGAGAGTTCTGCATTTATCCTGGGTCCCAGAGGTTTTCCTTTTATAGTGTAGTTATATCCACTAAAATTATAACTTCCAAAATTCTGTTCTGTTTTATGACTCTTGCGAAGTATTTATGACCTCGACTGCTTAAGTGGACATTTTTACAGATTTAGAGCTTTCAGGAGAACGGCACAAGACTGGTGCTGCTTGCACCGAACACTCGGACGGATTCTGTAGAACTCTTTTCCAGGATGCCACCAGAAAGCACATCAGCTTTAGGACAATCATGTTGAAATGAGGAAATGAGCGAGCATTTCACATAATGCATATCAGGATGCTGACTTTCATTATGCCAGTTTAAGGCTCCTTCAGGCAGGAAGAAATTCAGTTGCTTCCCAGTGTTCTATGAAAGCAGTTAATTAATCGTGCTTTTTTCCCCACCTTTATGCTTATCTACAAGTGGCAATTTCCTGTCCACTTTTCCTGCCAGGTGCCTTCTCTGCTAAACTAGTCAGTGCCCCCCTACAGCCTGCAGCCTGGCAGGTAGAGAGTTACTGGAGCGAGTTCTACAAAAACACTGGCAACCAGCAAAGGATTCTCTGAGTGGCTGCTCTCTACTGACTGAAGGACTTCGCTCAGTGAAGACCAGGACACATATGATCAAGAAGCCTGTGTTTCAGCCACGCTGTAGAGCATGAGTAGGGAAGAGGACTAGTGGAAGGAAGGAAAGCTGAGTTCCCTGTCAGAAGAGAAGAAATAAGTAGTCACATTTCATTGGTTTTGCAACATTTCTAACTCACACACCACACCTGTGTGCAGGACTAGCTATCTATGCTGATGTGGTATGAATGTAATTTTCAACAAAAGAACTATACAAAGTGCATCTGACAATCATTTTGAAGCAACGCTTTATATTTTACTGACACTATTAGCCGTGACAAGATCAAATCCCACAGCAGAGCTCAATCTTGCTAACTCTCTTGGTGACACTGTAGACAACTCTGTGGGCTCGGTGTGGAGACTAAACACGGCCCTTCCGGATGCTTGGGTTACTCCGGGTCGTTCCTCTAAGAGCTGCATGAATTCACCGGCTTACAGACCTGGGACTGGAGCTTTCGAGCATCTCTCGTACTATGAGGGATGCTGAGAGGAGGAAAGAAGCACGTTATCTTTTTCTTTCCCTCTCTCTTCTTAACTTTACTCTTAATTAACCCTGCCTGAACTCTAAAGCCGTGTCCCTTGTGTTTTCTTCTGTTCTCCCATCTCAGATCTTTTAAGCCTTCTTTCTTCCTGTCTTCCCTGCCTGTTTAAATGTGCAGACAGTTGAAGGAAGAAA